TCTGAATAAAACTGGGAGGGGGAGCTGAAAAAAAAAACCTCCTAGAAGATAACATAGGAAAAAATCTAGGTGACTTTGGATTTGGTAATGACTTCTTAGATATACACCAAAAGCATGATTCATGAAAGAAAAAACTGATAAGTTGGCTTCATTAAAATTCAAAACTTCTGTTAAGAGAATGAAAAGACAAGCCACAGACTGGGAGAAAATATTTGCAAAACACACATCTAATAAAAGACCAGTATCCAAAATATACAAAGAACACTTAAACTCAGCAATAAGAAAACAGCCCAATTTAAAAATGGGCAAAACGATCTGAATAGTCATCTCACCAAAAAGATACTCCGATGGCAAATAAGCACATGAAAAGATGCTCAATATCATATGTCATTACAGAATTGCAAATTAAAACAACAATGAGATACTACTACACTTCTATTAGAATGGCTAAAATCTATAGAGACAGTAAAAAGGATGCCAAGGAATTCAAGAGGAGGGAGGAAGGGGTGAATAGATGGCACATGGGGAATTTATAGGGCAGTGAAAGTGTTTTGTATGATTCTGAAATGGTGGATGCATGTCATTCTGTGTTTGCAAAAAGCTTAGAATGTACAACCCAAAGGGTGAACCCTAATGTAAACTATGGACTTTAATGACAATAATGTATATATATTGACTCATTGGTTGTAACGAATGTACCACATGAATACAAGGTTAACGTGAAGTTGAGCTAATAAAGATTAGCATGTATGAATTAACATGGGAAACTGTGGATCGGTGGCGTGAGGAGCTATATGGGAACTCTCTGTACTTTCCACTCAATTGTTCTGTGAACCTAAAACTGCTCAAAAAAACAAAGTCTATTAATTAAAGAAAATCTTTTGCTCTCCAAGCCTCAGTTCCTCATCTCGGAAGTGAGGAGTTGGACTAGATCTCAGAATGAAATTCTGTCCTTAGAAATAGAGGTAAATTTTTCCCCATTACATTTTCCAAAGCATTTTACTTTGTGATTTTTATCTATCCTCGCCGGGTGGCTTTCAATGATTGCATTGATAGATCAGCCAAGCTGGCATCACTTGGCTGTGAGTATTCTGGCAAAGAATAGATTCACACAGAAGATTCAAAAGTTTTCTTTATCAAGTGTTTCTGGTGATCTTTTAAATAAAACTTTAGGGAAAACTTGTTTCTACGTCTATCAAATGTTTCCTGTCTGTTTTAGTTTGAAAGCCATTTTGTGTGTTCATCTACAATTTTTGCTTCAGTGACCTAAATATGACGATCATTTATTTTTTTAAATGGAGGTAACACTGGTTTATAACGTTATATAAATTTCAGGTATACGATCATTTCCGGTTAGAGTAAATATTCTAACTTTGGGGAGAAATCTTAGTTATATTATAATTTCAGTGAAATCCCTCATTAGCCATGCCTTGTAGCTAAATATCATAATTGTTTAGTTTTAAATGAACATAAAGATTTATATACTAATATAAAGTTAATTGGTCACATGGACCTTGTGTTGTCCTAGTATGAAATATAGACATTCAAGAGCATCATGGCCATATAAACTGCCACTCTGTTTCTACTCTTTGAGGGGAGGTATGACACATATAAGCCACCATGTCCCATGTTCCCTGCAGGTTGTCATAAATGTTGGATAAATCCAACTGAGTGAAGAGGTACAAGAGGACTAGATTGCAAACATCAGCAACTGTCTTAATATATACCACAATGCTGTTTAAATTGCAAACGGATGAAAATGTTATGGATGATTCTTATTGAATTGTTTAACTCCTAAGAAGTCAGGGCCATTTGAATTGTTGGAGCCCTGACTTTAAATTTACGTTATCCAATATTTAGTATGGGAATCAGTGTTGCTTTTCTGGGGAGTAACTGTTAACACTAAGTATTTTTGCTTATGTTATATTAATTGTTCCCTTTTAGTCAAGAAAAAACAGGCTTGCCCATCCACCACTTCACTCTCATTATAGAAAGGAATGTTAAATATATATTTAGATTGCTTAAAGCAGTGGCTTTAAATTTTTTCTTGGCTGCAACCCACAGTAACATGTACATTTTACATTATCTATGTATCATCTGTCTATCTTTCTATGATACTGAAACAAATTTCTCACAAAGTAGTACCTATCCTTGCTATGTGTAATATATTCTGATCTGATCTATTCTATTCTGTTCTATTTCATTAAGAAACATGCTGATCATGACCCTCTAATTAGATTTCATTAATGGGCCAAGACCCGTAGTTTAAGAAACGTAGCTTAGAGAGCTCCAGATGAAATGTGCAGTGAATAGACCAAAGTGTCACATAAAATGATAAAAATGCATTGAAAGGAGGCTTTTACCACTTCACTGCTAGATAAATATAAACATTTAGAATTGACACACCACAGACTATATTTCTGTGTGGGATTGAGAGAGAGAGCCTTTTTAGTTTTATCTTCCAAATTATTTGAAAAAATAATTTTAACATGTATAACTTTTATAGTAAAAAAAAATCTAGCATGATGTAGCTATTTACCCTAAACTGATGTCATACATTCTAAAAGTTATGTTTTATTAAAAATAGTGGAAAATTTGACACATCAGGAATGTGCAGTTATAGAGTACTAGTTGCATTGATTGTGGATTATCCATGGGATGCACTACTCAGCCATTAAAAATGATGATGTAAGGTCTAGCTCAGTGGTTCTCAACCAAGGATGATTTTGCCTCCCTGATGACATTTGCCAACATCTGGAGACATTGTGGGTTGTCACAACTGGAAGAGGAGAGTGCTCCTGGCATCTAGTGGGTAGAGGCCAGGGACGCTGCTCAACATCCTAGTGCACAGGACAGTCTCCACTGCAAAGAATGATCCCCAAGTGCTAATAGTGCTAAAGTTGAGAAACTCTAGTCTAGCTAAATGACTATATGTACATGGAAGCCTTACCTTCTTCCTCATATCTGCAAATAATCTTTTTTTGGTAGCATTTTATTGATATCTCTCTCATACTTGGAATACAGTTCTTTGTGTTCATGTCCTATTTCCATTCTCAGGTAGAAAGCTCCTTTTTACAGGTGGGATACGTGCCTGATTCACCTGGGTATAACCAGCAACCAGACCACCTCATGTCTTGTAATTGTTTAATAAATATTTGTTGAATTGTTACTTAAGAAAAAGATCATGATACTCTGTAATTATTGAAATGGAAAGATGTCCACAATATATTTAACTGAAAAAAAAGCAGGTTATAAAACAGTATGAGTGATGATTTCCAGATTCAGTGTAATCACTATCACAATCCCAGCTAACTTTTTTGCAGAAATTGATAGGCTGATTTTCAGGTTTATATGGAAGGTCAAGGGACCCAGCAAAGCCAAAACAATCTTGAACCAAGTTGGAGGACTCACACCATAGAACTCTCAGAATAAAGCATAAGATTAAATCTTCATGACTTTGGATTAGGCAGTGATTTCTTAGATATGACACCAAAAGCACAAGTGACAAAAAAGATAAACTGGACTTCATCAAAATGCATCAGAAAACTGTGCTGCTAACGATACCATCCAGAAAGTGAAAAGACAACCTACAGAGTGGGAGAAAATTTTTAGAACTCGTATATCTGATAAGGGAATGTATCCAGAATATATAAAGAACTCATACAACTCAATAATAAAAGACAACCCAATTTAAAAATGGGCAAAGCATCTGAATAGACGTTTCTCCAGTGATGACGTACAAATGGCCAATGTAGGGAGGAAAAATAATTTTCACTCTGCCCTTCTAAGTTCTTGACTGGGGCTCCTGTAACAAAAGACAAGTTAACAAGAGAAAGTCATACAAATTTATTTGTTTTCTGTGGCACAGGAGCCTTCATAAAGAAATGAAGTCCTGAAGAAGGGGTTTAACCTGAGTGCTTTTATGCTAGGTTTGATGAAGAGTAGAGTGTTGTGGAAAAATGTGATAAGATAAAAGGGAATGAGTTAAGAATAGTAAATTGGGGTAGCATGTCCTGAACCCCATCACCAACAAGCACATGAAGAGGGAAATGCAAATTAAAAACCACAAGGTGCCACTTCGTACCCACAAGAATGGCTATAATAAAAAAGACAAACAATAACAAGTGTTGACAAGGCTGTGGAGAAACTAGAACCCTCAAACATTGCTGGTGGGAACGGTGCAGCCACTTTAGAAAAGTTCCTCAAAAGATTAAACACAGAGTTAGCACATGACCCAGCAGTTCCAATCCTAGGTATGTACCTGAGATAAATGAAAACATGTATTCATACAAAAAATTGTACAGGAATGTTCATAGCAGCATAATTCATAATAGCCCAAAAGTGGAAACAACCCAGATGTCTACCAACTGATGAATGGATAAATAAAACGTGGTATATCCATGCAATGGAATATTATTTGGCAATAAAAAGAAGTGAAGTACTGGTACATCCTAAAACATGGATGATCCTTAAAAATATTATGCTTAGTGAAAGGAGCCAGGCATAAAAAGCCATGTTTTGTATGATTCCGTTTATATGAAATGTCCAGAATAGGCAAATCCATTAGAGACACAAAGTAGGTTAGCAATTGCCTTTGGCTGGGAGGTTTGGGGGAAAATTGGGAGTGACTGCTAATGGGTCAGGGTTTCTTTTGGATGAAACGTTCTAAAATTAGATTGTGGTGATAGTTGCACAAACCTGTGAATATACTAAAACCCAGTCAGTTGTACATTTTAGATGGATGAATTGTACGGTATGTGAATTATATCTCAATAAAGCTATTTTTTTAAAAAGCAAAGAAAAAGCAACACTATGGGTATTTGCTTCCTAGAATGTAGTGAGCTAAGATAAATGTGGAATGTTAGCGGGTCAGCTTGTACCTGGTTTTCAAAAACATTCATTGTGCAACCCCTGATTGATGAGTTGCAGCTGCAGTAGGAGGGATGTGACTTGGCACTTACTCGCAGAGACAATGCATCAAGCGTAGTGTACGAGTAGCTGCTGAATCCAATGGGTGGCTGCCCTGAGTTGAAGTACTCTGCACCGGGTTCAATCTAACGCTTGCAACTGAACGTGCTCGGTGTGGTGGAGGGACCTGAAAACTGTGCCTGACCACGTGGCCAGATCCCAGGAGGTAGCTACTTTTTGGTTACTGCATTGCTTACTGCGCATCTTTTAAAGCTAAGTAAACTAGTGTGTGGGGGGGAGATGGAGGAGTGGAGTAGGGGTGGGGGCAGGATGACACAATGTGTAGTGCAATCTTGTATTTCGCTATATTAGTAAGTGGTTTTCTTTAAGTGGCAGGATTCTGGTGATCTCTCTTTTTTCTTAATACTTCTCTCTGTTTTCTGATTTTTTTAAATCTATAAGATTTTATTTCTTTTTTAATAAAATGATCTGATAAACAAAAGTCTTTATATTCCTGGGCTAAATCCTACTTGGTCATGGTGAATGATTCTATTAATGTATTCGTGAATTCTGTTTGCTATTATTTTATTTATAGATTTTCATCTAGCACCTTGGTCTTCTGTTGGTTTTTTCCCCACTATATTCTTCAAGATTGGATTTCAGGGTTGTACTGTCCTCATAAAATGAATTAGAGAGTTTTCTATGCTTTTCTATAATCTGGAAGTGTTAGTTGAGTGTAGGACTAATCTGTTTACAGATTGCCATTTTATTATAAAAGGATATAACTCAGGAAGTCAGATGGAAGAGATGCACAGGGCAAGGTATGGGGAAGGTGCACAGACCTTCCATGCCCTCTCCCAGGGGTTCACCCTCCCAGTATCTCCACGTGTTCACCAACCGAGAAGCTGTCTGATTTTCTTTTTTTTTTTTTTTTTTTGGTGGAAATGATATATTAACGTTGTCTTCAGAAAAAATAAACCTTTACAAAGGGTTTTGATTTTTTCCCCCCACACCAAGAGTGGCACTGGTGAAACTGGAATCCCGGGCAGAAGGGTCAGCGGCTGCTCAGGCCCCCCATGCTCTCTGCATCCTGTGGAGAGGGTACTCGGGTGGGGCTGCTGAACTTGGGCACCGACTGCTCCAGGGGAGGCCCCACCCTGCCATCTCCTCCATTTTTATTGCGCAAGCCTGAGAATGGCCTGGCACTGGTGAGTGGGGAGGTGGGGAATAAACTTTTGGGATCAGACACCAAGCAAGCTGAGAGCTTCGATGCCAGCTGTGTAGGGAAGTGCCGGGAAGAGCCACATGCCCGGCACCCAGAAACAGGAGTCCCCTTCATCCAATGGGAAGTTGAGTCTCAGTTTAGCAGTCCCCACCCTACCTCAGTCCACACTGAGGGAGCCACAGGTTCCAGCTTGTTTCTTGCCGGCTGCCACTGAGAGAACTCCTGGGATTATTCATCGAATAATCCTGCTTGTCTCTCCTCACTTTTAAACACTTAGATAGTACTGTCCTTTGTTTAAACAGGGTGTCTATCTCACAAGCATAGGTAGTTAACATACCGAGATTTAGGAATGATATGAGTACACGATCAGACCTTCTCAAAGGGATTTTGTTTAGTACATAGTCTCTAGAGAATTCAAAATGCATATGCTGTTTTATGTTACTTTTCTTTCTAGCGATCAGATTACTAAAGATTTCTAAACTATCCTTTTAATAAATAAGCTGCTTCACGTCAGACACACACTAGTTTCCATCTCCAGCCACAGGAGGGCGCACAAATACATTAATCAAGTGAAGTTTGGTATAAAATGTTAGGGACGATCTTTACTTAGGTTAAGGGAAAAACCATGAGCAGTGCTGTACTCTCGTTAGTGTAGAGCAGCACTGTCCGATAGAACTTTCTGTGATGAGGGAAATGTTCTGTATCTGTGCTGTCCAGTACATCAGCCACTAGCCACATGTGGATATCGAACTCTCGAAATGTGGCTAAGACGACCGAGGAAACGTTTTAAATTTTAGTTAATTTAATTATAAACTTAAATAGCCGCATGTGGCTAGTGGCTACCGTATTGGACTGCACAAGTCTAGAGCACTAGACTCTATGGGAATATTGGTTTTTATGAATGGCTTTATGAAGTTGGCATTTAAACGACTTTGGATCTAACAACAATGACTTAAGAGGTGAAGGAAACTAACATTGATGTTCCCACCGTTGGCCAGCTACTGTGCAAAGTGTACTTATATACCCATCTCACTTGACCCTCACTATGCACCTGAGAGATGGATATTAGTATGCCCATTTTATGAATGAAGACACAGACTCCAGAGAGATGAAGTAACTGACCCAAAGTCATTGAGATAGTCATCGAGCCAGATATACTCATCTAATATTTTTTGAGAACCTACAATGTGCTGATAAATATATCAGCTTGGCACTATTATAGACACTGGAAATCTATAACAGGAACCAATGCTTGGTATGGGGGCCTTTTTAATAAATGCTATCATTCTGTCTTATATAGCATTTTCTGATTTATCTGAGGATGAGTCATACATTTTAGCACATCATGTTCTCCTAGTTGGAAGGAACCTCCAGACTAACCCTTATCACCATCTCTGATGTATGAAATTCTCTATCACTGTGAGCTCTGATTGAGGCAGGGAGATAACTGGGTTCCATTTCCAACTCTGTCACTAACTAGACCTATGACCTTAAGTAGATGGTTTTGCCTTTCCAGAGCTAGAATTTCCTCATTTCTCAAACAATGCTTTTTGCCTAGGAGATTTACAAGGGCTATTTCATATTTCACTGATTCTGAGATTCACATTTTTTTCACATTTTAACATCAGGTTTCATCTGATGGTCAATGGCACATCACAGTATAGTTGGCAGCATTTTTTCTTACTTTTATTCATAGAAGAATGGTGTATTATAATCATGACACCTTAGACTAGATGAAATATGATCTGTATGATTTTAGAATATCAGTGAAAATATTTATCTTTATTTTAATATACATTTTGAAATTGCCCCAGAGGCAAAGACAATGACCTATTGTGATTCTAAATCCAGTTTAGAGTATCAAATTGCATATGTCATAATCAGTGCTTCCCTAAGAGGCCGAGGCATGGCATGCAACACACAAATTCAAAAATCTCCGCTGCAGTGACCCGCACCCCCCTCCCCGAGCCCCACTGAAGAGCAGCAGGAGTCATCTTAGGCAAAGGTGGGGGGCGGGTGCAGTTTTGTTTGTCTTGAGAGTTTCCCATCCTTTTTCTTGGTTTCTCTTCTTCAGGTACTCAAAGCTTCTAAGCTCTGTCTCCTCTGTGATGGCCTCTATCTGTTCTGCACTCCCTACGCCCTGTCTCTATCAGCTACCTTGAGAGTAAATTAATTTCGGGTATATTTTCTCTTGAAGATTTATGACCAAGGAAATCACTTGGTACCAGTGGTGTGTTGGCATCAGTTTAACATCTGGCTCTCTGGGGATGGGGTGGAAGGAGGCCTGATTTGTAGCATTTGCCAATTTCTGTGGTGTAAATACTCCTACAGTAGCCGACTTTAAGCTTCTGATGTGATATGAACCACTTTGTAAAATTCCTGAAAATTTAGCACTTAACTCTCATGAGCCAATGTGATTCTGCTCTAGCATACTGCCTCTCAGTACGGGTCTGATTATTCCATTCTTCTGCCATAATCCTGTGATGGTTCCCCATTGCCTCCAGGAGAGAAGCCAACTTCTCCAGCTTGATATTTAAAAGCAGAAGATGATCCAGGTCTCATGGGTCCTGAAGCTTATGCAGTTTGGGGGCCCTCTTTAAGAACAATAATACAAACTTAATAATACAACATTAGTTACAAAAGTGAATAATTATTTGGAATGAAAAAAGAAATAATAAATTACAAATATTGAAAAGCTGGTAAATACCAGCAACATTATAAAATCTGAAAAAAATTACATAATACGATTGGAAAGACTTTCTACAGACTTGCTTCTGGCTCTGTACATTTGAAGCCTCGTTTCTTGTCCACTACCCACGTACTTTTCATGCCAGGTGCCCTAAGACGTGATCATATTGCCATATGTCGTTTGGCAGTGGGTCATAGGAAATTCCTGGGAGCCATTCCTATTTGGGATGGCTAACAATGACTTAACCATTCATGGAAGTGATTGCAAACCATTTAAATATATCTCTCTGAATCCCAGCAAAATTATCTCCAACTCAACTTCCCCTTAGCTGGGTCCCCAAAACGTCTGTGACCACCCCAATGCCACCGAGCACGATGGGAAGTGTATTAAGGTTCATCAGAGAAGCAGAACTGCCATTAGTGGTAGAGAGTAAGGGTCTCATTATAGGGTAGATCTTTGGCAGCTGTGGGAGCTGCTGCCTCTGTCTGTTGTTGAGCCCAAAGTTGTTATAGGTCAGCTGGACCAGCAGTTGGGAAGGAGAGCTGAGGGGAAGGAGGAGATCTGACAGCAGCCAAAGGGGCTGCGGGCCTGAGTAATGCCCAGTGCCGTCTAAGTGGGGGATCGGATCAGTGATACTGCATGCAAGCTGCCACAGTGCCTGGCACCCTGGACTAACCTTCAGAGCTTCAGAAATATGACTGTGGTTCACATCTGCCTCACAAAATGTCTCTCGTGGCCAACGCTAACCTGTAACCATACAGGGAAGAGAACACGGTACCAGCTTAGCTAAGGTAATGCAGGACAAAACCACTACAGGAAGTGTGAGGGAGGGGACACTGGAATGGAAAGAGATGATGTTTTAACTGATTGCAGTTTAAGCATTTTCCTTCTGCAAATTTAAACATATGGCCATGTAAACAGGTTGCTAGGATCTTTCCTTAAGCTACGTGATAAATCCATTCTGTTAGAGAGTCACTAGCATCAAGTTCCAACCTACCTCTCAACCTTATCTGATCTCCTTTCCCTCTCTCTCTGTCTCTCACACACACACACACAAATATTTACTGAGCTCTTATGTACCAGGTGTGTTCTAGGGACTGGAGATGCAGAAGTTAGCAAAACTGACAAAAATCCCTACCCTGGTACAGTTTGCATTGTGGTGGGGTGGAGTAGATAAAGCACAGAAACACACTGCACGTCAGATGGCTAGAAGGGAGACAGGGAGTGGGAGCGAGCAGGGAGGAGTCTTTGGGGTAGTCAGAGAAGGCCTCACTGAGGACGTTGAGCAGAAATCTGAAGAAGGGGAGGGAGG